GCGGGCTACTCTCGAGGTGCAGAGCACAAGCTTCTCATTGTGGTGGCTTCTCCTGTTGTGGGGCATGGGCTCTAGGGCACAGGTTCAATAGTTGTGGCACACAGGCTTAGCTGCTCGGCAGCATGTGAGATCTTCCCAGGCCAGGGATCAAACCCAAGTCTCATGCATTGGCAGGCAGATTCTTTACCACTGAGCCACCAGCCCCTATTCTTCAATTTTTTAATGTGGTGTATCACATTGACTGATGTGCAGATATTAAATTATTCTTGCCTCCCTGGGATAAATCCCACTTGACCAAGGTGTATGATCCTTTTAATATTGTTAATATAATGATTTGATTTCCTAATATTTTGTTGAGGATTTTTGCATCTATGATCATCCATGATGTGTGTGTGCATGCTAAGTCACTTCAATCTTTGTGACCCTATGGACCATAACCTGCCAGCCTCCTCTGTCCATGGGATTCTCCAGGCAAGAATATTGAAGTGGGTTCCCATGCCCTCCCCCAGGGGATCTTCCCAACCCAGGGATCGAACCACGTCTCTTATATCTCCTGCAATGGCAGGCATGTTCTTGGCCACTAGCACCACCTGGGAAGCTCTCATCCATGATATTTGCCTATAATTTTCTTTTTCTGTGATATCTTTGTCAGGTTTCAGTATCAAGGTGATGCTGGCTTTTCGAATGAGTTCAGTGCAGTTGTCTTGAAATTTTTTGAAATATTTTAAGAAGGATAAGTAAGTCTTTTCTAAATGTTTGGTAGAATTCACCTGTGAAGCTCTCTAGTGTGGAAGGGCCTTGTCCAGTAGTGGCTCTGGGCTCCAGGGGTATTAAGGCAGCCTGTCTGCTGGTGGGTGGTGCTGTGCACCACCCCAGGTAGTTGCTTGGCCTGAGGCGTCCCGTTATTGGTGTCAGAAGCCTGGGGGGTATAGCTGAGTCCTGGCACTAATAAGCTAGAGGAAGGATCAGAAGATGACTCTTGCAGCACCAGTGTCCTGCGGTAGATCGAGCTCCCAGGAATGGCCGCCGCCAGTGTTTATACCCCTGGGATGAGCCCCAGTTTCCTCTTGCCTCTCCAGGAGACTCTCCAAGATCAGCAGGTGGGTCTGATCTTGTATGCACCTTTTAAGAGTGGAAGCTCTATTTCCCCCGGCCCTGTAGGTGTCCAATCTAAGGGTTTGTTTTTCCAGTGCAAGACCCCCAGGCTGGTGAGCTCAGATCCCTTATTCCTTGGGGAGAACCTCTGAAATTGTCATTATTTTCTCAAGAGGTATGGGTCCTGACAACTCCTCACCTCCTACTTGTCTTCTTGTGGTTCCTTCTCTATGTCTTTACTTGTAGATCTTTTCTGGTAAAAACCAGTCTTTCTCATCAATAGTTGCTGGACAAATAGTTGCAGTTTTGTGTGCCCATAAGAGGAGGTAATCTTATTGTCCTTCTACTCCACCAACTTTCCACACTGTCTTGATTACACTGTCTTCATGGTTTTGAAATTGATAAGTGTGAGTTCTCCAACTTTTGTTGTTATTGTTTCAAGATAAGTTTGGCTTTTATGAGTTCCTTGTAGTTTTCAGTATATAATCTTGCATTTCTTTTCTTAAATGTATTGAATATCTTTACTGAATATCTTCAAGTTTATTGATACTTTCTTCTGCCAGTTAAAATCTGTTCTTAAGTCCTTCTAGTGAATTTTTCCTTTCAACTCACTACTAGTGAGTTTTACTTTTCAACTACAAATTTTCTGTTTGGTTCTTTTTATCATTTCTATCTCTTTATTAATATTCCTTTTTTGTCGAGATATCATTCTTACACTTTTCTTTTATTCTTTAAACATGGCTTCCATTAGTTCTTTGAACATATTTATAATAATTGAATTAATATTTCTGTCTAGTAAATCCAATGTCTGGACTTCTTCAAGAACAGTTTCTATTGGCTGGGAATTTTTTTTCTATAAACAGAACATACTTTTTTATTCATTTGTATGTTTCATAATTTTTTATTGAAAATTGAACATTTAAAAAATATAATGTGACCATTGACCATTCTGTACACCCAATTCCCCTCCTTCCTAGGGTTTGTTGTAGTTCCTATTGGTTATTATTTGTCATTGCTGCTGCTGTTTGTTTAGCAACTTTCTGAATTCATTCTGCAAAGTCAATATTCCTTATTATGTGTGGCCACTGAAGTCTCTGCTCAGTTAGTTTGTTGTTGTTTAGTTGCTAAATCCAACTCTTTGCAACCCCATAGACTGTGTCCCACCAGGTTCTTTCATTCATGGGATTTCACAGGCAAGAATACTGGAGTGAGTTGTCATTTCCTTCTCCAGGGGATTTTCCAAACCCAGGGATGGAAACTGGGTCTCCTACTTTGCAGGCAGATTCTTTATTACTGAGCCACAGGGGAAGCCTTCAGTTAGCTTAGTGGTCAGTTAATGAATAGACAGAGATTTCCTGAACATCTTGAACCAATAAGTCACTCAACTTTTGCCAGCTTCCTCTCTGTACGCATTTTAAAGCATGAATTCACTGGTCGAGTAAACATTTTACAACTTGGCCTTAACTGCATTTTTCTTACTTGTATAGATCCTCAAGGTCAGCCACAGATGAGAGATAAGGGCTTTCTCAGATCTTTTCTGGGCCTGTGCATAGCTCTGTTCGAGCAGGTGGCATTTTAGATTCCCAGGAATTTGTCAGAGCTTGCCAAGGCCCCTAGTCAAAATCTCATTCTCCAGTTTTTTCTTATACATTTTTTCTCAGCTCCTTGTTAGTTGCAACCGCTGCCTCAGGCAGCTGCAATGTTAAGAACTTTCCAATGATAAAGAATTTTAAATAAGAGCCCAAAGTAAACAACCCAAAAGTAGGCATTGTTGTGCATGTCACTCAGTCGTGTCCAACTCTTTGTGACCCCATGGACTGTAGCCCACCAGACTCCTCTGCCCATGGAATTTTCCAGGCAAGAATACTGGAGTGGGTTGCCACTTCCTTTCCCAGGGGATCTTTCTGACCGAGGGGTTGAACTCGTGTCTCCCTCACTGGCAGGCAGATTCTTCACCACTGTGTCGCCTTGGAAGCCAAAAAAGTAGGAATTAAATGACTCAATAAAGGTCACAAATCAATAGCCTAAAGTGGTCAGGAGTCGTAACACAAAAGAGAAAACTGAGCTCATTAAAAAAAAAATTTGGGGGGTCATATAATGTCAACATATTTTGTTCTTAGTTCTGCATGTAACACTGTCAGGAAGACACAAAGGATTTTACTGAGTTTACTGGGTTACTGAAAACAGAATATCTTATGTCAAGGGGACAGCAACTCTTTAGCACTATTTAATGAAATTTTTTGCTCAATATTCCCTCTTTTCAAAAGAAGCTAGGAATCTAGATTTTGTTCCCTATTTTAAAATAATAAACAGTGCACAGAACAAAGGACATTTCCAGGTTTAGTTCAGACTGATGTTCACCATTTTGGAAACTCTGTAATACTTGGATAAAGTCTATGTTAAAGAGAGTATATAAATATCTGATTTAAATAAATGAAGTTCCAAATATAAGCAATGATTTTCTTAATGTGCAAAACACCAAAATTTATGTAACAGCAATATAGCTGAAAGATGGTCAGATTGGGTTTCAGAAAATATGTTTTTTTCAACCTGAATATATTACTTAGTAAATATACAGGAACATCATTTACTCATCACTCTTTGATGAGAATAAAATGACACATAGAAAATGCCTGGGAAGTCATAAAATACTTTAAAAATTCATAGCATCATAATTAAATCGTATTAATAATAATTATTAATTTCTAAAAAAAAAACACCTTTCCACTGACTATTTTCAACAAATATCCTAACAATAAGGTTGTTTGCACAGAGAAAGTTCTGAAAGCTCTGAGAATTCATCTTTATAGACAATTTGAAATAGGTCACATAGTGACAACTCTCTGAAAATGAAGCTTTTTGGAGCACTCTAAACCCATTCTTTCCCCTCCCTCTTGATGGCTAGTTTGCTGGTCTTCATGGCTATCTCAGTTGCAAGATTGTTGGTTTCTAAGGCTACCTAAAGAGGTGGGGTGAGAGGGATGGGAACAGGGCAAATTAAAATGTCACGATGCTCACTGTGCTTAATGAGATTTAGCCATTTTTCTTAAACAAATGCTCCTCAAATTACTGCAAGTTTTGGTGATTTCCAGAGTTCTGAAAAAGTTGACTTCGTTTTTGTTTATCACTTTTCTGGAGGAGGGGGTTTTTCAGAGGTCCTTGCTCCACCATTTTGTAAGTGCTTTTCTCAAAGAAACATATATAAATATCTCTTTGATTCAAGTCTACATTTTTTGTTTTCCTTTTACTCACACAATAGAATACATCTTTCCTCTTTTCTCCTTCAGCGAGTGAATTAAAATCAGAAAAGAGATGTGAAAAAACACATTTTCCGATTTTTTTCAGTAGTTTCCTTGTGTTATAGAGGAAAGTGTTAGGTAGGAGAAAGCTGTTTCTTTCCAAAGAAACAAATATAAATCCAGAAGTACAGTCTTTCCAGTTCTGTGATAGTCACAAAATGAACTGGGACAGGAGGATGTGTTTGATTAAGGAGTATTGGAAAGGGTATGTAATATTCGATTTAAAAAAAAAAAAAGTGCTTTAATGCCTGAGTTTCCTACACAGAGAAGAGTGTAGTTTCTACATGGGCCAGGTAGGTTATGATTACTCAACTCCAAATCTCACTTTGCCAGTATTAACTCCTTCCAATAGCTTCCTTCAAATATCAGAAGTTGAGGTGAATGAGATGCAAAATACATCATAATCAGTACATTCCCCTTCTTGAGCAAAACTGGAACTGGTGAAGGGTCACAGAAACTAGGAGAGATTCATTCCTGGTGATATCTTGGGCCAAATTCCAGAAGCCCAAGGGAGGAGTGGGCAGGACATTTGCACGCATGACCTCACCCAGAAGATCCAGCCCCAGAGCATATAAACAGGTGAGTTGTCACTTTTGCCCAGTTCCAGGCTCAGCAGTTTGCAAGCGGATTGAAGCATGGCGATCCTCAGGCCCCCGCTTCTGCCACTGGGGTTGCTTCTGTGCCTCTGGCTTCTGTGTTCTCTGGCCAGTTGTACAAACCCCGCTGTCGAATGCAAGCCCATCACTTCAGTCACCAACAAACTACCCTCATATATTGACGTCTACCCATGGGACTATGAGAGCAACAAACTCTACACGGGTGAGTAGAAGCCGCTCTCTCTGCTGTCCTTTGTTCTCTGAAGGGCGATCAAGCCAGAACTGCAGGACATAGCCCTCCACCCCTGCTCTCAGTGACACCCAGAGCATGTGTCTTTGACCGGGCTGGGACGTTGACTGCAGAAGAAGGGAGAATGAGAACGTGGGAGTGGGTGGATGGGGTGGGATGCTTCCTGCCCATCCCCTCTGTGAACCTGAGCCACGAGAGCCAGGATGCCCCAACACTTAGGTTAAGCGAGTCGCAGCCAGAGCATGACTGCAGCAAGTTCTCTCACTTAAATAAACTGGACTTAAACTGTCTGTATTTGGGAGGGGGAGGCATTTTTATTCTTTTAAGAAGCAATAACTGCACCTCAGTTTGTAGTCTTTTCCCATCCACTTGCTAAAACAATGCCACGTGGATGATTGTATACCGTGAAACTGCAGGAAACACTGTTCACACTCAGGCTATGGGCGGAACATCTAGTGAGTTAGCCAGGGAAAGCGTTACTGCCCCACCCGATAAACGAGGAGTCTGAAGCTGAGAGAAGTTAAATGACTTGCTCAGGGTCTCACAGCTAGTAAGTGGCAGAACTGCCTCTTGAATCTTAGTCTTTTCATTCTGAATCCAGGGCTTTTCCTTGATGTGCCTAGAACTATTATATACACATCCCTTTGGGGATCAGTCAGACCTAGAAGTCAAGGCAAGTGCTCTCTAATACAACTTTCTTAATAGCAATAAATTGAATATGGTTGTTTATGTGTACCGATACATTTAGCCCTCACAACGACCTGCTGGGTAAAAGCTGCTGTCAACCCCTGTTTGTAAATGAGAAAACAGGCGGAGATGCCAATCGCTCAGGTCATAGAGCCACTGAAATGATGGACCTGGAATCTGAACTTGAGCTTTCTAGCTTCAGAGACCCTTCTCTTAATCACAGCACTATATACCTCTCAATTACGGGAGTGACAGCTAAGACATCTCCCTGTGTTCTGAGTGCTGATCTAAGGGGAAACGCTAGTATCATCTGCACTTTACAGATGAGAACTGAGGCACAGGGGAGTTAAAGTTTTACCCAAGGTCACTAGTAGATCGTACCGCTAATATTTGAACCGAAATAATGGCCAGGAGTTGCCCAGCTTTGTCCAGTCAGGCGGTCCAGCTTCAGAGCCTGCCTCCTCATCTACCATGTCATCCTGCCTCTCCCAGAACCCTCACCACATTTTGCAGAGAACACTGGAGTGCTGCCCACACCCACGGTCTACAGATTCCAGGCTCGAGCAGGAGAACGACTGCCGCCTGCCTTCACACACTCATTCTGGCTAGTCCTTTTTCCTGTTGTTTTTTCTCCCTTGGAGACGGTCACTAAGTGCCTCAGCTGTGGTGAGGCTCCCTATGTCTGACTCCATCAGGCAGTGGATCTTGTTCTAACCGGGGCAGGGAGGATGATCTTGTGATTCGAGATGAGACCCAGGAGGTGTGGGCTTGTGTACAGGGAAGAGTGGGAGCTTGCATACAGGGAAGGATCTGGGTGGTCAGAGATCTCAGAGCTCTGACTTAAGATAACACATCATGAGGTGAGGAATTCTGCTGTTGAAATGGAAGAGAAAGAAACCTATCTTGTGAAGACGCAAAGGGTGTGGGTGGGGCAGTTAGAGGTGGGGGTGGCAGAGAAACCTTCTGAAAGTAGGAACACAAGAGAAAGAAGAATCAAAAGACCATCCATAAGACGATCCATAAGGGAATGTGCCCGATGAGATGGACGTGACAGCCTTTATCGAGGCATCAGGTCCAGAAGCAGAAACGAAGACTCATTGGACATCTGCTATGTGTCACGCACTTCTCCAAACTTCATCTGATTTCCTCTCAGAACAGAAATGTGTTAAAGCTTTGTGATAAACTGACTCACTGTAGGAATGATTTAAGTTGAGAGTCAAAATCCTATGCCCTTGGATATGTGATGTATCAGATTCCACACCTGGAACTACACAACAGGCTCCATGATTTCCTTGTGTCATTTCAGGACCTCACTGGGATTCCTGGGACTTTTGGGAAGACCAAGTAAATGTCCACACAGGCAAACTTCTCCTTATTTTAATATTGATTTTTTTTTTTAATTTCAGGGTTTGTGTTAACATTGGTGAGACATGTATAAATGGTTTGGCAGGTTTCAAGATACAGATGCAGCTCAAGCAACATCATAGAACAGGTTCCCTGGGTCTGCCTTAATATCAGTCAAAGAAACTCGTCAGGCAGTAGCATTTATAATACATTATAACGTGCCGGGTAAACATCTGCCTCCATTTTTACTTTGACGGGAAGAGAAATTTAACTTGCTTTTCTTTTTTCCTGAACCTTTGGATTTAAGGTTCTATGCAACACTGGATGCACAACTTTTTAAAAATCAATGAGCAAAAAAAAAAAAAATCAATGAGCGGCTACTTAGTGCTTTCCAAGTACCCAGCACTGGATTGCCCAGATCCACGGGTGAAACTACAGTGTACAGTACAAGCCAGAATGCAACTAAGTCCTCTGCTCTATAGTTAAAAGCGTACATGATTCAGGAGTGAGAGGAAAAGAGAGCAGAATCTTGGAGAGTAAGTGGGGGTGAAATGTGAGATGAGAAGGAAGATGCCAGGCAGGCACCAGATATGAACAAGGGTGAGCAGCAGGCAAGCCAGGTGTGTCTGCAGAACAGAGGAAGCTTCACTATCTAGAGGAGGGGTACAAACAGCAGAGTCAGTGGGGTTATGACAGTCACAAGAGCTGTGTGCTGGGTGTTGGGATCAACAGAAGCAGAGATATAAAAGCAAAAATGTTTAGAGGCTCTAGAAAGAAAAGCACTTTGAAGATTTTGAATAGGTGTGGGTCCTCGGGTGGCAGTCTGAAGGGAGGGGGCCATGGAGGTCAGGAATCTGAATAATACAGATAACTAGGAGGGATGAAAGGAGGATATAAGCCAGAGAGAGAGAGAGAAAGCAGAAGGACAACGGCAAGCTCAGAGCCCCCCTCCCTCCCCTCCACAACAGGACCATGACAGGCTTGATGATGACTGGATGACACTGTTGCTCATTAGCATCCACCCCACCACCATGCACAGGTATTAAGGACAAATATCAGGTTCTAGCTGAGCAAGTCAGGGCCAGGGGATCTGGCTCAGCAACCTTGACTGGCAAAAACAAACAGAACAGAGGACTGTTTTGTGCTAAGAATAATGATAACAACTTATTCAACACCCACCAGTACTAAAGTTTTTACATTCCTCTCTTCACTATCCCAAGAACCTTTCAAGATAAAGTATCATGATCTCCATGCAATGACAGATAATGTCATTGTCCTCATACCTAGAACCAAGCCTAAAGTATCATGATCTCCATGCAATGAGAGATAATGTCATTGTCCTCATATCTAGAACAAAGCCTAATGCAAAGCATAAATATTTGTGGAGTGAATGATGGACAGAAAAGAAACCAAGGATCAGAGGTGAAGTGACTTGGTCTTAAATGCTAGGGCTAGGATTCAGATCCAGGACTGTCTGCTCTTATCATGCTACATGATCAGTTTTCTTTATTTTGTAAAGGAGAAGCTGTTGAAGAAATTTGGGGTGATTGGGAGGGCCCTAGAGAATAATACCCTTAGGATTGAGAAACTTGTTCAGAAGGGATCTTCTAAGGGAGGAAATGGACAAACTGAAATATTCTCTTGAAATTCCCTCCCTAATACACTTTGGAAAGCTGAAAACAGCATGTGGAATTCACAAGTATCAGTGGCCCACGCCACTGTGGGCACATGCTGGGCTAAGTCAACAGGTAAGATTCACTGAGTGGAGGGGACCAGGGAACCCTAAGTGGTTATTTGATACTAGGTGCCTGGATTAGGGCCTCTGGGTCTCAGAGACCCCCTCTCTTCCCTCACCCTCCACAACAGAGACCAAGAACATCAGCATTTCTGGAACCAGCAAATAGGTTTTGTTTGACTAGGCAGTAACACACCCTTATTTCCTGAAGCACTTCCCAGGAGGCCCACTTGAGCTCTTCACATACATCTACAGCTTCAATCCCCCCACTTCACTATCATGCTACCCACCCACCCACAAAGGACAGAACTGTCATCTGGAAGATAGGAATAGGACTCAAGAGGTTAAAAGTCAGCCAGGATCTCATCCCTGGTACGTAGCAAAGCCAGGACTGGAGCACAGGTCTTCCTTTGTCCACCTTTTCCTACAGAAAACTTGGAAAACACAAAAAAAGCACTAGGAAGAAAATAAAAATCATCTATAATTACACAATCAGGAAACCCTCATAGCTAATATTGATGTATTTCCTTCCAGGTTTTTTTCAACTTATTTTATATTTTATAAAAATGGGACCATACCTTATTTACATACTACTCATCACTTTCTTTTTTCATACTTAATTTTGATTTTATGACCCCATCTCATGTCTCACTGTACAGACAGCTGACTGTTTCCTTATTTCCTCCTAGTGTCACTCATTGTGGAGCCCAATATTACCTCTGTGATCTTGGAAGCACGGGACCAGCATGACTCAGTCGTTGGCTCCTGGCAAAACCCCAGTCTATCTTGTGAAGGCCGGGCCGAGTACAACTTGAAGGGTCAAATCAGAACGCTCTTCGAGGCAAAATGGATGTCTCCTAAATCCACGGACATATGCTCAGTCACGATATAGTAAGAAATTATCCATAAATGATTTGCTCTGGGGCTTTTACAATTTCATATTGGGTTTGTACATTTTTATACTGACCTTGGAGGATTCAAAATACAATCCAGATATGATGTGAAGAATTCAGTAGCTGCACTCCTTTTCTGCCTCACCATTCTTTGTCCTATCTTTTATCTGCAAAAGTTTATACATCACACACACACATACACACACACACATATACACACACACATACACACACACACAAGGTACGCTCAACATAAACAGAAAAAAATTGGTGTTAAAGAAAAACCCAGAGCTGGAGAGTAGTTAAAGCAAAATGAATGAATGAATGGATAGACAAACACAGATTTTATTTGAGACTATTGCAATAAGAGAAAAGAGAACTCAGTATAGAACAAGTCTCAGTTCTGAATACAACATGGGCAAGTGTGAATTTATCACCAAGGAACAGGGTAGGGGGTGAGCGGATGGAAAATCACTAAGAGGAAGCATCAAAACCTGTAAGAGGGATTCTGGCTAAACTGACCTAACAGGATTCCTGCTGAAGGCAGGCCAAGGTGATCAGATATCACCTGGGGAGAGCTGAGGAAGAGGAATTCAATCAGATAATAAGGGTGACCAGATATCAAGGGTAGGAGGTTCTTGCTAAATTGACTTATGAGGAGTCTGGCTAAAGTTGGATTTTACAAGGAAGTGCACAGATGGGTAGGAGAAGGTTCTAGAACCTGACTAAAGCTTGGATTCAGAAAGAACCCATGTCATTGGCACCCAGTTTGCTTCAAATTCTCTCTATTCCCCTGCTACTTCCACCCAATTCACTACTATTAGTCTGGGGCTGACAGAACTCCAGAGCCAGGCAGGGTTGGGGGCAGCAGTTGCAAACAGTTAAAGATAAAGACACTCGTCCTGAAATCATCTGGCTACCTTGGCACTGCCCTCTCTGCCAAGCCCTGTGCAGTCCTTTAGAGGACTTGCTAAACTGAGGGTGCAGAGAAGCTGCCTGCAGCCAAGAGCCTGCAGGACGGGTGCTCTTAGCCCCTACTGATACTGAACCAAACCCTCCACTTGCCTGCTGCAAAACGTAGCCAATGTACTGACGCCGGGTTGTGATGAAAGAAAGGATAGTGTTTACTGTAGGCACCAAGGAAGGAAAATGGGTGGCTCAGGCACAAAAGACCTGGTCTGATGGCCCTCAGGGAAGGTCCTTCAAAGGCCATGTTTGGGGTGAAGTTTGCAAGGGGCATGACTTTCTTCTGATTCACTGGTGGTGGTGAGGTAAGAGTGATGTTTCAGGAGTCCTAATCATCAGCCTTCTGATTCCAGACAGTCTGGGGTCTGTGTGCCTGTGGTCCGCATGTAGTCAGCATCCTCCACCAGGGCAGGCGGTGGCCTTAGTTTCTGAAGAACAACGCAAAGATATGTGTGATATTATTATGCATATCCCTTGAGAAGAACTAGGACTCTGTTCTATCACTGAAGTATGGTTTCTTGACTGTCTTTCCCTAGTTTCTGCCTTTCCCCACTTCTCTAATTAGTAACTGATGGGTCTGCTCTTTGGAACTCAAGGAGGGTCTAGGAAACTAAAACCTTTTTCAAAAAACAAGAAATGGGGGAGTATGGAGGGGCTTTTGTACCAGAGTGGGCCTCCAGGGTCCTGTTTGAGTTTAGTCTCTCCCATTTTCTTTGATACTCCTCAATCCTAAGGGGAATAGGAATAGGGAAAAGGGTCAGCATAAGAAAGATAATAACATTTTGGATAGAGAGGTTAGTCATAAACTCAGCAGGGGATCTCAGTTTTAGGGGGACTCAGTTTCACCACTACACAGAGAATCCTTTTTTAAAACATAGATGCATTTGGGGAACGGCTTGCTAGCAAAACATGTGATGACTGTACAATAAAATTGGCTTCCTAGTGTCCTGCAAAATGGACACAGATTCTAAGGTGAGGCCACTGGGGACTCGTATTACAGTTTAAGAGAAAATTCCTCTCACTCCCAGTTGGGGATTTGTTTACAGGTTCTCATCAAGGACCAAATGTTGCGAGGTCCTTATACTTTCAGACTGCCCTTTTGTACTGAAAGGGCAGATCTGCCCACCAGGCCATGTCCAGTATGTCCAGGTCTTTGTGGACAGTGGTGATGGTCATTCTATCAGGCCACTCCACCCTCTCCTGCCACACCCTGGGCCTGGTCAAACCTAGCTGTCTCTGGAGCTCTGGAGGGGGTACTGTTATGTCCACAGAGTGACTTGCAAGGGTAGAATTCAAGGGAAGCTGCTACCACCCAGCCTCACAATGACAGCAGCCTTTTAGAAGCCAGCCAGGACCAATGAGGGTGATGACCTTCCTTTCGTCTCCCCTCCTCAAGTCCTCCACACTTCCTGAAACAGTAGATGGTTTACGAAGCGCACACGTGGCGTTGTCTGACAATGTCTTGCTGCGGCGAGGCTGACGAGCGAAGGGAGGCAGCACCTGGGCTGGGGGAAGCCTCCCGTGCTGGGTAGGGCACAGAGGGGAACAGGAGCAGGGTCCTGCCCAGAATGTTACAGCGAGGACTGGGGAGGCAGCGCCATGCAACAGTGATGGCTGAGCTTATACAGCACTTCCTCAGAAAGCATTCCCCGAAGCCCCGCATCAAGTCCCGCTCCCAGTTTACTCACTCTTATCACTGCCACTGCTTCATCCAAACACGTGTCACAACTGTGACCAATTACTCGTCAGTCGATTATTTGTTTCAAATCTTTCTCTCTGCAGGGACTCGAAGTGCCACCAGGGTAAGAACCAGGCTTGCACTGTTCACTGCGGTCCCCACAGCACCGAGCACAGGGGTGGGCATGTAGTGCACTCTCTTTAATTGTTAATGTCTGAACAAGTTTGTTGTTCTGTCGCTAAGTCGTGTCTCACTCTTTGTGACCCCACGAACTGCAGCACTCCAGACTTCCCTGTCCTTCACTATCTCACCGAATTTTCTCAAACTCGTGTCCATCGAGTTGGTGATACTCTCCAACCATCTCATGGACAAGAGCCTGATACAATAACAGACCCACTGATATTAAACAGACCAGGCTGTACAGATCCTTTAACAAACACTGAGCACCATGATGCTAAGTGTCAGCCGCTGTCAATGACAGAACTGGCCCTTGAGGAACTGGCCCTCCTGTGTGAGGAGAGGCACATAGCTAGGCTGTGCAGTAGAGAGGCTCATCTCCCTGATGCAGACCTATCTGGGTTCATGACAACAGGGAAAAGCAATGTCAGAGAGGCTACTGTTGAGTCTGTGGGCAGATGTGCCTGGGACTGGTATTACAAGCGGAAAGACTGGCCTGAACAAAGACCTGCACTGTACCCCAGCCTGTGAGGAGTACAGGGTGGTGGAGTAGATGGGGGAGAGGAGTGGATATGAGCTAGTCTGGAGTAAGATCATGGAGGATCTTAGTCAAGCCAGTATAGAGAAGATCACTACTGAATGATCTGCTAGATGTGCTATAAAGTTGTTGTTCAGTCGCTAAGTCCTGTATGACTCTTTGCAACCCCATGAATTACAGCATGCCAGGCTTCCCTGTCCTTCACTATCTCCCTGAGTTTGCTCAAACTCATGTCCACTGAGTCAGTGATGCTATCCAACCATCCCATCCTCTGTCACCCCCTTCTCCTCTTGCTCTTAATATTCCCCAGCATCAGGGTCTTTTCCAATGAGTCAGTTCTTTGCATCAGGTGGCCAGAGTATTGGAGTTTCAGCTTTAGCACCAGTCCCTCCAATGAATATTCAGGGATGATCTCTTTTAGGATTGACTGGCTTGATCTTCTTGCTGTTCAAGGGACTCTCAACAGTCTTCTCCAACACCATGGTTCAAAAGCGTCAATTTGTCAGTGCTCAGCTTTCTTTATGGCCCAACTCTCACATCCATATATGACTACTGGAAAAACCATAGCTTTGACTAGACGGACCTTTGTTGGCAAAGTGACGTAAATAAAGTGATATGCTTATAAAGTATGTAAGCACAAAAGGAACTAAGAGGTTGGGTTCCCCTGGGAAGTCAGCCATGGGAACTGAACTTGTGAATTCCTCACCATTAATTCTCCTCGATTTGCCCTCCACAGCGTCTACTGTGCCAATCTCCTGAGACATGCTGAACTTGCTCCCCTAACACTGTCGAGAGTTGGTAAGTTTCTCTGCAGCCTATTTACATATCTGGCAGTGAAATCCATCAGCCTGGAAAATAATCTTGTGGGTGCCCTAGAAAAAAAGAGTCTACTTGTGCATTATCCAGATACCAGCTGAGTCTTTCAGCACCTTGAGTTCTCATAAGATAAGCTCAACCCTGTGCCCTGTGGAAAACGAAAGCCACTTCCAGCAGGTCTTTGATTCTCATGGTCACTTGGCTCCAGACCTCAGGAGCTCTTTCCATATCTGCAGGGATATGTTCCTTCCTCAATTTCCATAATAATCCCACCTTGCACAAAGCCTTCATAGGTATAGCAGACCTTACTGAAGAGTTTAAGGGAAGAGAAGAGGGATTTGTACAAAGAAGGGCTGATAACAATAAAAACCAATAATGCCACTAGTTCTCAAGGTGGCCTCTGGCCTCCAACACAAGCAGGAATTCCCACTCACTTTTACCAGGCTGTCGTCCTCAACTTCAAACCATCGTCCTCAACTTCAAACCATCGTGAGGCTCCTTGCCCCCTTTCTCTCCTTTCTCTGCCCCCTTCCTTCTCTCTTGTCTCTCTCTGGGAAGCTGGAATGAATTCAAGAAACAGGTTCAGAAAAGATAGGTAGCTTGCCAAAGGCCACACAGAAACTAACGACAAAACTAGTACTCAAATTCCACATCTTATACTTCTTTCCACTTTTCTTGAACTTACATTAAAACTATAAATACAATCTTTTTTTTAAGTAAGTTTTAAAATACAAGCTTTAGCCAAGAACAGGAAACATTAGTCTTTCTCAATGCCCAGATAACAGGTCTTCCTCGTGAGCCCCGAACACTGAAATACATCTAGTGTGCTGCCCATTTTCCCATCAGTCAAGCATTGCAAATGTGGTCAAAGACATATCTATTTTCCACAACAGATGTTAAAGTGATCATGCCAAATCAAAATATTTTACAAAAGCATTAACTGTTTCTTTGGTGGCTTCCCTTTGTGAAAAGATTGGGATATTAGTATCTTTCTAGAACATTTTCAAAATGAACACTCATATAAATGCAAGGAAAAGAAAAAAAAAGTTTGTTTCTGGTCAGGACCCCTTGGTCTTCAGTTCCTCAGTCATGTCCAACTCTTTATGACCCTATGGACTATAGCACACCAGGCTTCTCTGTGCATGGAATTTTTCAGGAAAGAATACTGGAGTGGGTTGCCATTTCCTACTCCAGGGGATCTTCCTGATCCAGGGATTGAACCCATGTCTCATGTGTCTCCTGAATTGGCAGGCTGATTATCACTGAGCCACCTGGAAAGCCCCCCAGGACTCCTTAGCTCCACACTAATAAAATCAAGATTTTTAAAAAATAAGGAAAAGAAAGCGTTTGTGTTCAGACTTTTGGCTCAGTGGTGTACTAGAGAAACATTTGCCCTGAGGAAATGCTAAATGAGATAGACAATGCCACAAAACTGGAAGGCACTGGCAGGTGGGCAGAATGCATACAGGTCTGAGCAAATTACTGGGCATTTCCCTCCTCCTTCTTTATAGTCCCTTCCGTGGTTCACTCAGACTGTTGGAAGTGTCATTGCCAAGCTCCAGCTTTCCAGGAGCGGACAGCCTCCCAAGGATATAGGCCTAGATTTCTCTGCTTCTTTGCAAGGCAACCTCAGAGAACCAACATGTGATCAGATCACCATGAGAATGACCAGTGACTCAGACACCACGAAAATGGATTCATGGGTTTGGACAGGGCTTGTTTACACTCCCTTAAAAGCAGAGTTAGCCATCCTCAGGTCTGGATGGTGTCTAGCTCTTTAACCCTTGAAATTAGCAAAAATTAAACATTTGTACTAATTGATCAAATGTAATATTAAGGACATGAGGACATTTGAGGGCAGATTACTTTCCCAATAGTCAATTCAGTAGTTATATAACTTCAGTATAAATTCAGTAATTATATAAGTTCAGTATAAATTCCTTCTTCCATAGACCTTAAGGTCAGAGTGTTTATTTTTTGATCCTTGACATTCTGAACCCCCTGGCTTCCCTGTCCTCTACACACACTCAACCCTTGAGAAGTGGCCATTGAATTGTGCCTATGAACTCTGGTCCCAGCATTCTCTCACATTAGCCTCCTTTCTCTAGTGCCCACTCACCACTGAAAAGAGTTTCTGATGCCACTGTTGTTGTTGTTTTTTCCCCAGGGGCACCCTCAGGTGAGAACGCCAAGCATTTCCCAGTCAGGAGCATAACACCCCCAGGCCACAGACCAACCGCAGCTCCCCGGAGAACAACCCCAGCTCCCCGGAGAACAACCCCAGCTCCCCAAAGAACAACCCCAGCTCCCCCGAAACCAACCATATCCCACCCAACACCAACCACGCCCCACCCAACACCAACCACACCCCACCCGACACCAACCACGCCCCACCCGACACCAACCACGCCCCACCCAACACCAACCACATCCCACCCGAAACCAACCACATCCCACCCGAAACCAACCACATCCCACCCGAAACCAACCACAACCAACCACAAACACACCACCCGAAACTCAGCCAACAGAGCCTTCCTCAGCCCCGTGAGAGAGGCCATCCAGATCCTGCTCATCTTTCTCACCAGCACACTCCTCTTCTAGAAGGAAATGGAGGGAATGACTGCTCCTGGCTCCTCTGCATCCTTCTACGTTCAGTCCCAAGCCAGGGCTCTGACCTGTGTGAATGACCTCTGTGAATGATTTGCGCTCTCAGATGTAAAAGTACTGCCACTGCTTCAGATCCAATTAGAGACCCGAGGGTCACCTAGACCTGATCTAGGTGTAACTTGGAATTCTGGCTCCTAATTGAACATGTTGGCAGCCAGTTCCCTAGCCAATCTAAACTTCTATTTAGATGCGACACCGGTAGCAGCTGAAGGGCAAGAAAATAACAATGTACCGTGTCTGAGTAGCCAAGGATAGTAGAAAGGCATTATTTTCTGTCATACCTAATAGACTGCACCTCAAATAAGAATAATGAATGTGTTAAATTCAAATATGTCTTTAATGAGTGATTAACTGAAAATACAGAAAACATTATCTAATTTTATTGACTTATGTGAGCATTAAAAAAAATCAACGGATTTAAAATAGATAACTAATAAATATTAATTGTATAGCACAGGTAGCTCTACTCAATATTCCATAGTGACCTATACAGGAAAAGAATCTTAAAAAGAGTGGATACATGTGTATGTAAAACTGATTCACTTTGCTATACACCTGAAACTAACACATTTTAAATCAACTATACTACAATAAAAATTTTTTTTAAAAAACAGTGGAATGGTGAGAGTGTGTTTTTAAGGCCAGATATATGAGTAAAATTTTAATTTTTCTCAGGTGCAAATTGGTCATTTTTCCCCTCATGGTAATTTCCACTAAGACAAAAGGGTGAAATATTTATAATATTCATAAGGTAATATAAAGCCAAAAGAAAGCATGGCATTTCCAATAAAAAGCAACCACATTTTCTTTTAAAAGTTATGCTAAATTCCAGGATGCCAACATCAGTGACTGAGTGCCAACTTCCAGCTGGCCTTCCTCAGGGACAGCTTCTGTCAATTTTTTTCCCTGTGAATAGGCCATACTTTCCTATTTTGTATGTCTTTAATTTTTGTTAAAAACAAGATTTTGAATATTATAATGTGGTAACTCTGGAAACCAGATTCTGCCTTCCCATCAGGTAATGTTGTTAAGGGCTGCAATTATCCATTTGTCTAGTAACTTTTCTAAACTGGTTTTGCAAAGACTGTGTTCCTGTTGAATGTGGTCCCTGAAGTCTCTTTTCTGTTATCTCAGTGGCCAGCCAGTGACCTGACAGATTTTCATGTATGTCAAAATCTAGCAGCCTCTTTCCTCATTAAGCATTCCCCTAACAACTGGAGTTCAGAACAAGCTGACCCTGACAGATTTTGCTTGCTTAAGGGCGGTCTCTCAGTGGAGGGACCAATTCTTTGAGGTCCTTATTCTACCATTTCCCGTGACATCACTTGGTAGCCACTATGAGTATCTGCCAGGCACTGTACTATGCACTTTATGTGGCATCATCTCTCTTAACCCTCACAACACCCCTATAAGATATAGCCATTTTACAGAGGAGGACACTCAGGCAGAGAGAGAGAGAAACGACTTGCCCAAAGTCACTCAGTGAACAGGTAGTGAAGCTGGGTTTTGAAGAGCGGGCTACACCACTTCAGAGCCTACACCTTTACCTAAACACCCTAAGGGCTCCCTGAGCAGCTCCTTCATCACCTGGGATCCCCCAGAATAACCAGCTTCCCTGGGTCAAATGACAAGGAGAGGGTATGGGTGTGTCTCGCTAGCACAACAAGCAGGCTGCATGCTCCAGCCGTGCGCCTCCAGCCTCCACTTCTCTGCACCACCTCCAAGAGAAGTTGCGGTGAGTGAGTCCTAACCCAACAAGCTAGGAAGGAATTTCATATATGTCGTTCATCGCCCAACCTGATGCCTCAGCTCAGGTTCAATGTGGAGGGTGACGAATACTGGAGCCTCAGCAAAGACACTATCTGAAACTGGAAAATGTTTAGACTCAAAGAAATCTGGTGTAGATGAATTCAGACAAGCGGTACAGACGTTTCTGAGCACTGGATTAGGAGGCAAGAAACCTATTAATTTCCACTTCTGCTGCTAAGTAGAAAGGTGATCTTAAAGAAATCACTTTACCTTCTTCTGTCTCAGATTTTTTATCAGTTATATACAAGGCTGGCCCACAGGTGGTATCTCAGTCCTCCTCCAAGCGTAAATTTTGATTTTTTGGTCACACCCAGACTAGTCCTAACGGTCTAGTCAGAGATGCGAAGTAGGTGTACCTTATGTCATACCTGACTGATTGGCAGAGGCTGCTGGGGACACTGTTGAGGATTCCAAAGCAAAATCTAGGATCAAAAATTCTTCATATTCAACTAATGATATCTTCCTGGGGCTCAGGAGGCAGGAATTGAAGCAGAACAGGCTCCAAGTATTTGCCATTCTTGGTCACTCCTTAAGTGAATCCATAAGTGGCAAGCACATCGCAAGCAGCAGAAGAGTAAAGGAGTATGTACACTCATGGTCTCAGGAATAGCTACTCCTGATCCTCACTAATGGGAAAGTGATACACCAAAAAGAAAAAGAAAAAGAAAAAAAAACCACAGGCAATGACAGGGAAGCCCAGAGTCCGCACTTAATGCACAGAAAGAGATGGACAGTATATTGCTCCCAAACGCCCTGGCCCAACCTTGCTCTTCCACGTGTGTGCTCTGGTTGCAGCTTCTTGTTTTATAAAATCAGTGCATTCTCATCCTGTGTCAGAAACAGTAAGTGCCTCCCCACTTAATGGAAGTGATCATTCATTCTGAGAAAGTAATAGAAAGAAAAGTGTGCTGTGCTGTGCTCAGTCATGTCTGACTCTTTGCAACCGTATGGACTTCAGCCTGCCAGGCGTCTCCATCCACGGAATTTTCCAGGCAACAATACTGGCGTGGGTTGCCATTCCCTACTCCAGGGGATCTTTCTGGACTAGGGATTGAACCTGCACCTCTTGCATCTCCTGCACTGGCAGTGGATTCTTTACCACTGAGCCATCTGGGAAGCCCAGGAAAGAAAATTAATGTCTTTCAAATCCCACTACCTCTGAGACCTTCACACAAGAGAAAAGTTCCAGATCTAGTCAACAGTCCAACTATAATATCAACCATCAAGCAAGAAAAAGATTAGAACAGTGAGGAAATTTAGACAGTATCTTATTGCCTATCAACTCCCACATTATTTTTTAAAGTAAATGTTGAAAATATAATAATATTTACTTAATAAAGTAAAATTATATTATTTCATAAGAGAGGTTGTTTTGGCAATTGTCTTAAAGGATAAATTCTGAAGCCAGACTGTGTGGCTCAATTTCATTTTACCACTTATTAGTTGTGGCACTTCATATAAGTTACTTCTCTGTACCTTGGTTTCTTCATTTCTAAAATAGAGAGAAAAATAGTAGCTACCTACTGGTTGTTATGGAGATTAAATCAGTTAATATATATAAAGCACCCAGAATAGCATCTGGCACAAAGCAAGTACTATATAATTATTTAAGACCACAAAGGGCATCACAAATTGCACATTGATGTACAAGAAAGCCAAGTATTATAACAATATAATATGTGAAAATGGTGCCCATAACAAGGACTAAAATCTCTAATTTGTAACTGTTAAAAGAAATGGCTAATGTCTGACTTTTCACCATCTTTTTTCCTCCAGCCTCACCTTCACCTCCACCCCCCAGGCTTCTAAGTAGAATGTCTTCTAGCTTTCTGGATCAGCTCCTAGGCTCTCTCTTCTTGTAAGGAATCCAAATAATGGCTAAAGGAGTTAAATTATCCTAAATAATAGAGATCTAGATCAAAGGAGAGGGTGGGGGAAGAGAAAGCAAAGGCAAAGTTTGGGTCAAGCAATTTGTAAGGCCTGAGACAGAAAGCTCTGGAACCTCCATGGACTGAAAGTAGAGGCTAGGGCTATGTCCCTGGCATCACTCTTGGTTACAAACTGGTTCTAGTAACGTCCTTCAAGAGAAACAAGTGAAAATCAGAAATATTTTACTTCTGATTGCTGGACTGTTTGTTTAAATATGGCACAGCAGTGAAATCAGGACATAAGGACCACCCCCCACCCTGCTTTTATGTAAGTTCTATCCATATATATAGATAAAGTTAAATGTATATACCTGATATAACTGGGAAGTAATTTAACATTTGCAAAAATAGCTGCATATTTATCAATGCATACATATATAACCTATATGTAAAAATAACTTTAGATTCAGATGCTTGAGTCCAACAAACTCAAAAAGTCTTTGGCTAAAATAAAATGTGTAGATAAAGCACATGTAAAGAGTTTGGGATTCTTTTTGAAAGTCGTTGAATCAGTTTTTCCTTTTTTTTTCAACCCAAACCAATCTAGGTTCAAATCCCAGTTCTTCTACTTACTAAGTCACTTTGAACAAGACTCAATCAGATTCCTCACAGTAAACTGGGGCTGACTCCTACGATAAAGGGCCTGATGAGTGAGACACTGGACACATTGTGGCTGACATAATGCTAATTCACAATAAATCAATCAACACAAAAAACCTGTCAGTTAACCACACAGACACCAACAACAACCTCAAATGAATTGATGGACGATGTCATACCCCACAATCTGGTTAGGTTGCATTTTTCCTTTTCTAAACATAGTTTTATCCTTCACGAGAGGAACCTTGATGTTCCCCCAGTACTGATTTTGGGGAATTACTGAAAGTTATTATGGCAACAAATTGAGCCCGTTTGCCGAAAAACACATATTGCCTCAGGGTTGCCACGGATCTGTCAGCTTTGTACTCCACAAGGAACCCTGTTCCTAGGGGCTAAACAGATGAAATGATAAAAGGCATTCTTTGCAAAACCAGCTGAGGCCCCACTGCCTACAGTAAACCCACTCTCCACTAGCCAGGACGATAACTACCCACCAATCTTTACCGTCTATCCTACCATAAAGGGAATACCCTAGTGATCCCCTGAGTGCGGGGTGCTAAGCAATTTACTAAAAGACCCTTGATTCAGAATTCTAGCTTCTCTGTACTTAAATCAGTAGCTGAGGACTAAAACAAATGTTAACCCACAGATGGAAATGGAAAATCCCCAGGAAGACAAAGTTAGCCCTATAAACAAGTTTGGAGGAAGAGAGGGGATTCTGAAGGAGAAATTTAAAATTCACTTTTGGAAATGTAAGTTTGAGATGTCCAAAAGACATCCAACTACCCATATGTGGTTCTATCTGTGGAAATAAAAACTTTAAAAAGTAAAAGCCCACACTAGCTCTATTTCATCATGCTGTCCCCAGGACAGTGCTCACATTTATTAAGACATTTGTGAAAAGTGAAAAAGGGTTTTTTAATTTAATTTTTTTTTTTTTTTTTTTTTGGCCTGCACTG